TAGTTCATGCTAACCCAAATCAATATATACAGATAATTTTTGAGTTCATTTTTTAATTAATTTTCATTGATGGCAACATTTTAATTTAACAGCTGTCGCTTTGAATGTTTGAATGACACTGAATATGTACAGTACAGTTGATTTCGATTTTAAAAAATCCTATATTTACTATCATAATTTTGTTATATATATAATATATAAGTTATATATAATAATTGGTTTAAGCATATAAAAGCAATAGCAGTAGCTCCCACCTAAAAGTGTGTGGACGAAGTAATATTTCACAATGAGAAGGAAACCATATGGTAAGTAAGGTAATACCGATTCCTATCCGCCTCCATTTAAATATGATAGGACCATTTTATATAGGCAGACATAGAATTGTTAAGAAAATTTTACGCTCCCATTGGTTTTAACCAAAATGCATTTTATACAGGGGATCAAATCTTTATTTCTATTTTAGCTCATTTGTGCTTTAATTTAAAAGATATGTATTTTTGTGTGGATATTCCTACACATCCATATAAAAATACATCTTTATACTGCTTAGTTTGTACCTACACTGAAAATTTTATTTGAAATTTCTCATTCGGAATTTTTTTTAAATAACATAAAACAAATTAAATCAACTTTGGCATATCCGGCCTATATATATATAAGTATATAACTTATGTCCTAATCTTAAAGCATTAGAATATCTGATCACACCACTTCAAAAGTTAATCAAAATTAAATCGCAAACGTAGATAAGTAGATCGCTATATTATGAGCTTGTGTGCCTCTCTAACCCGTTTACCATTTTATAATTTAGACTCGAAATTCAGCTATCTTAGTATTTTTTACAATCAAAAAGTGCAGAAGGAACCTAACCACCTTAAGCGTACAATACAATATATATCTAGACTGGGTTAAGGTACAATGAATTATAGAGAGAAACAAGAAAAAGCCGATGAAATATTAAGAGAAGGATCTGACATGAGAGCAGTTAAACTGTTAAATGGCGAGCTTACGACACTTTTCAAACCGTTCATTACAATATAATTATTTAGGTTTGAAACTTAGTGATGGGAATATCTTACATAATGGAATAATGATTAGGTTTATTAGGCTTATTAAATAAATTACCTTGAGCGAACAATAAAGGTCTAGATCGGGATAAAATGGAATGTAAAAAGAAACAAAATACCAATGAAATAACCAAAAGAAGATCTGACATACTAGCAGCCTTCGCAGAATTGGCACACATACCACTGAACATTGCTTAAAAACTATTAACACATAAAACTTTTAAATAGTAGATTGTTATTTAGTCCTACAATATTTAGGACTACAACCTATATTATTATGTTCTGTTTACAGTTTAGGACAACATTAACAGCAGGAAATAAAAGGAATATATTTGCACTAATGACAGATATTATAGTCTAGAAGCCTATATTAATCAAGAATTGTAGATATATCCCCTACACATATTCTTTAGCTAAAATAAATGAAGAAAACTTATAATAGAACTTATCTATAACAATACGGTTCTTAACAAATTTCAAGACAAAAAATAATGTAAAAATTAAAAGTTTTAAAATATAAACATATTAACAATTTTATTTAAATAAAAAAAAATTATTATTAAAAATTATTAAATTTTATTTATTCTGTTTTATTTTTTTCGCTAAGATTGCATTTTTATTATATTTATAAAAAATATTTCAAATGAAAAATATTTTTTCTTTAAATTTTACTTGAGATACTTATGCATTTAGCATGTTTTGGTTAAAATTACAAAACCAGAACAAATTTTTGCTGACTAAACGTCTACTTTACAAAAAAACAACACTTTAAAATCGCAAATAATTCTCTGAAGTACAGTTTACACAGAACCATAGATATAAATATGTATCCGAATAAATTGTATATATGTGTGTATAAATTTCTAGTTTAAAGTTAAGACACACACTTAGGCAGAAATTTAATGGGAAATAAGGCGTTGTCCTACTTTTAGTATGGCTTCAAAAATATATGTAGAACTGCATTGCAAAATATTTTAAAAATATTGTTTGGTATTCAATTTACAAATAAAAAAAAATTAATTTAAATTATAAAGAATTGCTTAATGCAAAAAATGACACATATTATTTTCAATATTAATTTCGTTGACCATACAGTTATTTTAGAAACCATTACAAACTTTTTTTTTACTAATGTTTCCTAGTCTCATTATAATCTGTATATAGTTTCTAAACCTATCCACAAGAACAGTAATTAACCACTATATCCATTCCAATCTGAACTGGAGAACGATCCAAGTTGCTTTAGCTTGATGTAGTCCCAAATTTCAACACATTGTTATAGTTATTGTAATACGTAATATTAGAGAAGTATATACTAGCTTAGTTGTCAATGTAAGAGTAATTGAAGTTGCAAATTGCATAACGATCGCTAAGTTCCACGATATTAAATGAATATATATTGTGTATATAACAGAACATTTCTGTTGTATAGAGTTTTGTCAATTTTTTAGTGTGAAATGGATTTCAGTACTAGGCTTTCCATAAAATTTTATTGACCGAAAAGATTTAAAAATAAAAATTAGCACATTTAGGTCTTCAAAATGAATGAGTACTTTTTTTTCTCTGATGTAAATTTCGTCTTAGCTTAATAGTTGCTGTTGTAATCCACAGAGATTTATAATGCAGATAATATGGAATGTATTACAAAGACGTATTCATTGGGGATAGGTGAGAGATTGCAGTAATCTATCTACCTAATTGTCTATCTACCTATTACCTACCTATCTATTTGCTCTAGGTAAGACAGAAAAACCTAGCCACTTTAATGGGGCGGCGCAAAGATCGATTGGACATTAGTTAGTGTGTGCATAGGTACATGAAAACAAATGGGTGACATTATAAGGATTAGAGCTGCAGTTGGGATTCACGTTGAAAATCGACGTTTTATGCATGATAAGTAACTGTTTAGCACATGACTATATCCTCATGTCAATTGACCTAAGACAATAACTGTTTTATTGCAGTGGTCTCAAAGAGGATACTTCATTTGTGTGGAGGGAATCGTTAGTCTACGTTTAGTTTAATAATTCTATTGCTTCAGTTACGTTTACTAGACAAAGAAAACTGTTTTTTCAATTTATGGTAGGTTAAAAGAAGGCTCCAGCTGTTCATGTGGGATTATATTGTAATATATTTTTACATTTATACACATGCATATTATAATTAGTAAATGGAATATCTTTTAAATTTAAATTTTTAGCATAAGAATAATTAAAAACAAATTATATATAGTTCTTAACATATGCAGTGGTTTATAACATCCAATTTTCATAAAATTCTTCTCTCAAACTTAATTTGTGGTGTCTATAAGTGTGGACTAAAAGAATTTATGCCGAATCTATCAATAGTTAAGGAGCAACTAATGCTGAATAGAAAAGGCATTTGACTTATCAAAGGGTTTTTCAGTCGACATTGGAGAGTCAAAAAACATCTATCGAATCTAGGTATTATAAAGAACGATAGCTGCAGATTTTCTCACGAAGAGAAGGAAACAGCAGAAGGCATTTTGTATCACTGTGATAGTCTTGCCAGCATCAGCCCTCGATACTTATTAACTGCCTATCCACTTATAACGGAATTAGGCAATATCTCTCCAAAGGACATAATGGCATTTTTAACTGCTACGCGTCTATGGAAAGTGAGTGGGTTTTGCACAATAATCCTCAAAGGGTGCAGTGATGTGTTGACAAAGTTGCCAATCCTGTCTAAAAACGGCCTTAATATAAAAAAAGTAAGAAAACGAAGCTAAAATAATGCCAGTTAAGTTCCTATTCCGTTTTAAGTAAGTGTTGTTAGCTGTCACTTTGGTGTTTATTTCAATGTAAACATTTGATTGAAGTGAAGTGAAGAGAATTCGTCATTAACCCTCTAATGCCCAGCAAAATAAATATTGTTGCAAATAAAAAAACTGGCATTATCTGGGGTAAGGTTCAAATGTAGTGTGAATACTTTCAATATTCCACTCAGTTTATCCAGAAAATATTGTTAAACATTTTTTTTATCTATAATATTTAATACTATCTCAACTATACAAATTAAATAATAATTTAATGTACACTCAAAACTAACGACCGTTGCATGCTGATTGTAGTGAAACATTGCAACAAAACTTTAAGGCACGTTTATTTTTTTTTTCATATTTAAATAATTATGCATAAACTTAACTTTGGCATTAAGTTTAATTTGCTACATCATAAAAAATATGAAAAATCAAATAAAGCAAGACTTTAATTGCACATTTTTGGTTACATTTATGTTTTATTATTTATATTTTTTTCCAAGTATAAAAATTCTGTAAAAAAGTTGAATTTCTTGAACTCGTTAGAAATTGCATATACGACGAGTTCTACATATGCCCGTCCCCCGCCAACGACGCTGCTAACGGACAGCATTGATAATTCATGTTCATGCCAAAACTAAGTTAAAAAGCCAATGACTTATTTTTTGTATTTTCTTTTGCATTTAGCAATGCCGACGGATATACATATGTAGATTGGTAAGAAAAAAAGTGTTATAAAGCAGTGGGATGAGAGACAGAGAGAGATAGAGAGAGTAAGAGGTATTTTCTACTTATGTTGTGTGACATAGATTTTATGTTTTTATTATTTAAATACACTGCTTAGATGCAAATGTAATGAAAATATATTAATTTAATTGATTTCATTTAATAAATTAAAAATTTCAATGTTTTAATATATGTAAATATTTGAAAGTAAGAAATTTTTTTTTTCTTCACTAAACTCACCGTTGCACATAGCGTGATCGTGGCATATTGTTGTCAATAGGTTTAAATTTCATTTAAATTTATATATATATATATATTTCAGATAAAAGTAATGTATAAATTATGGCTTCTTTACAGAAGCGTTTTATTTTATACTATATATAATAAAATTTTATATATATTAAATATAATTAATTTTTTTTTTTTCCAAAATGTGAATATAAAAATTTTGTTTATAGTTAGGTGGTATAATACTATTTTATTGCAAACTGTTATACTTTTATTAACTTTTCACTTTTAATATTAAACTTTACCACACTCTTTTTTGTCTTATGTGCAATTTTTCGTTTAGAATTAGAATAAAATATAACACTTATATTTTTTTTTATCAAACTCGCATACGCAGTGGCGCTGACATTTTTTATGTTTGGCCTACTTGTGCGCTCTGCTCTCAAGTAGCTCAACTACATATATACGCAAATTTATACAATATTTCTCTTCTACTTTCACACCTATTTGTTGTTTGTTAAGAGTTTTTGGTTTTTTTATTTTAGTTCATTCTATTTCGACTGAAAATGATCAATTTCTTTAATTATTTGTTGAAAAACTTCATATCATTGCCAAAAGAACAACAACATTGCAGCACCAAATGACACAATATGTTAGATTTATTTCTCTTGTATGTGCAATAATAAAACTACATTTTTCTTAGAAGCTCCCCTCCACACATTTAGGTTTTTAAAATGTTACTACTTTTTTGTTTTTGTTCTAATGTGATTTGTGTTGTTATGATTACCGCACACACATATGACAATTTAGTAGGCGTAGAAGCAACCACAGCAGAGAAGAATGCAAAACAGAATTTGTAAATTATATGCACAATAAAGTTAACGGAAATTTAGATTATTTTTTATTAGTTACTTAATTGCAAAAAAGAAAAAAATAATTTGTTTGTATTCTATTAACTAAAGTTACTATTCAGTGTTTCTTAATAAATAAAAAAAAAAAATGGTTGCGCGTTGATATTTAATATGTAACGAATATGAATAAATAAGTATTCCACACAAGCACAACACCTAACCACACAAACGGCATAGAATACTGAATATAATTGCAGCGGCGTGCAGTCGCCTAAATTTTGGCGTCGGCGAAGAAAACAGAAGAGGAAGTGTTAAAATTATTCGTCGTTAGATTAGTGTTGTATGATTGCAAGAACACTACACTTTTTCCATACCCCTTTAGGGTACAAAAAAAAAAAAAAAACTAATTATATATATTTATTTTCTTTGGCATATGTTTAGGGTTTATTATAAGTTTATTAATATTTTAATAATATTAATAATGTAAAAAAATTTGAAAATATTACTTTTAGTTTTTTAAAGAACTAATATTAATAAGTTTATTAATATTTTAATAAATATATTAATAATGCAATAAAATTTGAAAATTATTTGTTTTTTTAATTATTTAAGGTATAAATATTTCAAAACACCACTTTTAACTATTAAAATTTTTAAATAATTTAGTTATTTTGGTTAACTATAATTAACATGAAATTTAACATAAATAAAATATTTAATTTACAACATTGTTTTATTTTTACTATTTTCAAAAAAGCTACTGTCAATCTTTAAATAAAACATTCAATATTTAAATTTTAAAAACTTTAATAATTAATTCTTTAAATAATTTTCATTTTTTTAACTTCAAATAACACACACAATGTATTATCAACAAGTGTAACCTGTTGAATTGTTTTGCGTGGAAAAAGTGGCATAAAAATTGCCGTACAAAAAAAAATATGTATGTAAAAATTTAAATTCACTTTTTAAAGAATTATGCAATGGCAACACTTGAATGAAACTATCTATTAAGTAACTAGGTCATTTAGTGACTTGATAAAGGAGGTGGACAACTAGTAAAAATAAAAAACACAAACAAAAAACCTACATGTATGCATAAGCATACAATATGGACATAGAAGTTGCATGTGGGTTGCTTTTGCTCTTTATTTACGTTAACAAAACTTTAATATCAATATTTTTAATGATAAATATATTTTAAACAAATTATGTTAACAATATTTTTCACATTATTATTTTTTTACACATTTCTGCATATTAATATATGTATTATTTTCTTTTAGAATACAAACAAACAGAAAAAAAAGACCAATTTAATTAAGTGAACATTTTTCTCCCTCTTCGTTATGAAAAATTTGTTAGACACGCACATGCACACACACACTTATATGTTTTTTTTAACGAAAACTGTCGTGTTGTTGCTTTTTTTGCTAGCATGTCATTGGCGTGTGGCTCTGTTGCTGTTGTTTTGCAATTTTATTTAGCACATACACTAACGGTATTTATGGTGTTGGTATTTAATATCGAGTAGAGTATGTAGGTTTTTTATTTTATTATAACATTATTATATTAAATACCCATCACTTTTGCATAAAACATAAGAAACCGGCGTTATGTTATTTAATAAAAAAATTATATATGCAAAATATTTGATTTTTACACTTGAATTAACAATTCTTATGTTTTGAAATGTTTAATAAAAAAAAATTTTTAAATATTTTGCTTATTTTTCTAAAAGCAAATACAAGTTTGTTATAAACTGTGTTGATAAGTTAATAAGAATAGAAAAAAAAATTACTAAAAAAAAAATTTTGCGCTAATCGATTTTAGCAAATACCGAACACGTCAACCTGCGACAGTAGTTTTAAACAGACTGAGAAAATAAATGCTCTTTTTAAAAATATTGAGACGAACGAAGAACGGCGGTGACTTCTTATTTCACACTCTCTCCACTTGATAATCTTATTTTTATCTTTTCGCATTATAAATTATTGCTCTTTACACAAATATTACACAAAATCAATAGCAGCAGCAGCAGTAGCAGCAGGTAAGGTAGGTAGGTTATATTAAATTGATCTAAACATTACCGGAAATTCAACAAATAGCGGATATAACTGCTTTTAGTATAAAACAATTATATACATAATTATATTGTGTTGTTGATGTATAAAAGATGTTTGTTAATCACATTTAATTTAATTTAAATTATATTAAAAATAAAAACATATAATATTAATTAATATTTACAATTGTAGTGCAAAAATGTGCATGTGATAAAGATGAGTAGCGAAAAGCTCTAACGTAAGCAGTATAAGTAATAGCTGACTGACTGTATTACTTCTTTTCTTATAATTTATTTTTCGGCTCAAATTTGCAGTGTGGGGAAAAAGAAATATATTCTCCTACTTACACACATACGCATTGTAGTAGTAAACAATTTCGCCTAATGTGTTTTGCTCACTTGTCGTGCTTTTGTCGCGGCGGTGTTTCATTTTTTCTGCTTTTGCTTTTGTTTTAATTTTATAGCAAAAAAGGTTAAATTTTATAAGAGACGAAATTTGTATAAGAGTTTTTGTATTTGTATTGATCGGATGTATGATATATTTAATTTTTATTTATTTTTTTTCGTGAGTAAACGCAACAAGCAGCATTTAAAAAAATTTTTTGATTACAATTTCTTTTTTCGAATTTTATAATAAATATAAAATTGCATCTTTTTTCGGAATTTCATAATAAATATAAAAATGTTTTTTTTTTTATTTTATTTATTTATTTAATTGTAAGTTAACATTAAAATTAATTTTAGGTTCTTCGCCCAGTAAAAAAGTTTTTCTTTTTTAAATTAAAATTAATTTAATTTATAATAAATATGAAATTTTACAATATTAAATATAAAAATATTGTTAGCTTTAAAAGGTTTGATAAGCCGACAATAAAATCTTTTGTACCTTTCATATACCCCCCAGTGTAGTACTTGGTAGAATTTAGTATGTAGTATTTAATCACTAAAAACTAAAAAAAAAATACTTATCGTTTTAAAGGTTTTGCTGCTCTTCAATAAAAATTTAATGATTTAATTTTATAAATCGCTTAATTGTCAATAGTGTGAATAAAATCTGTCCATTACATTTACTTTATGAGCTGTGACCAAATAAGCATCTACCGGTCTTTTTTTTCATACTGACATACAACATATATAGATACATACATACATTATCCATTCAATCTAAGTACGTTTGCTTCTGATTGATACATAATTTGTTTGTTGGTATTTCCGGTCAACGTTTATTTTTTTGTTCATTGTTTATGTTACAGCATATTTTGTTTTTGTTTTTGCTTTCGTTTTTCTGCTTTTGATTTTAAACGAAGCTGTTGAGTAATGCACGAAGCATTAGAATTGCTTTCGTTAAAGCGAAAGCGTGGTGCGCTTAAAAAAATCGCAGCTTTATTGTGTCTTGATTGCGAAAATTGTGCCGCGAAGAAGGAAGAGTATGCATATGTTATGTCGCTGTGTGGAACTAATCATACGAACGCTATGTTGAGAGATGTTTTGTTGTTGTTATACACTTTAAAAAATTTGGAGTCGGCAATAAAATGGTTAGCATAGACGCAATGTTGAACAGCTACAGATTTCAAATTAGTTTCATTTATTTCGAAAGCTAAGCATATAAGTATGCTTACCTTAATATAAGTGTGCTTATATAGTTCTAAATTTGTTTTGTTCATTTATACATGGATTAGTAATTTATGGTAAAATATGGTATAGTGATATGATTATTAGACTATACAAACATATGCGTGATAGCTCCGCTTCGCCTTAAAGTGTGGTCGAAGTAATCTTTTACAATGAAATGAGGAGCTATATGTTAATGCCTTGGCCCATTCTCTTCTTAAATATGTTACCGTCATGTTATAGTTGAAGAAAAAAGGCGTTAAGATCAACAGTATCTTCAGTGCAGTGGTCATGTTAAGGGAGCCCTAACCGCGCTTGATGTACGAGAGTGGCGAAGGCACAAACGCAGTAGAAACATTGCTAATAACAACCCAATAATGTGTAAGTAAGTAAGTAAGTAATGGCAATGTTGTCAGCCATCAATATATAAACAGACTCCGAGATAGATAGGCGTTGCAGCTTCTAAAGATTCATCAGAAATGTGAGCAATACTTATTTACACAGATTTTTTATCAATAAGCTGAAGCTATATAAAATTACGATAATCCCATAGGTTACGTATGAACCCAAAGTGTGGATAATAGCTGGTTCTAAAAATCAAACAATGAATTTTTAAAGATATTTCGAAAAGGCAAAAAGTTATATATGTTACATCTTCTCAAAAGATGTATTTGAACTATTTTCGATTTTATTAAAAAATTTTAAAACTATTTTTTTTTTTCATTGTAAAACGTAAACATTTGTAAATGTTACATCAGGAGACACTAACCCAAAATAATTTTAAGGAAAATTTATTGATGCCAGATGCTTAAAGCCAATAAAACCGAACAGCCGTATAATTTCAACCCCTTTCTTTTAAAGACTAGAGAGCACAAATAAATTACTTTTCATTGTGATAAAAGAAAGCATTTCGCCAAATGTACAACAGCTTAAGGACAGAACAGTAACCTAAATTATGAGCTGCTAAGCTCATAGCACATCCAACTAGTCAATGTAACAGAATATATATCCATATATATATATATTGATATACATACTTATATACTTGTTTGAATTGTCTTTTTGGTAGAATAAAAATTGGTAACAAATGTTGAGTTGTAATTCTGAAATATTTTTAAAGTTCTTTTTTCGTCCCTTCGACCGCCGCACATGCACATATGCAGTTTTACAATATTCGAAGAGCATTTGTAGGCTCAGAATTGCAGCAGGCCGGTCAATAAAGACTTTATTACCGTATCAAGTAGAATCAGGTTAACTCAGTTTTTTGGCAATGCAAGCTTCTGCATTTTATTTGCTGCAGTTGTTACTGTTGTTGTTGTTATTATTGTTTTATTTGTTGTTCTTGTTGCAACTAACTTGACTCAAAGAACTTTATCTGACCCCATGTGCAACGCATATCAGACACGATGATCATTTTTTATTGAGGCCATTGAACTTACCAAAAAAAATGAATAATTTTTATTATTAATTAAAATTTTATTTAAAATTTATTGCTGTTTTTTTTTGTTACAAATGAAACTGTATTTTAATTACTTAATGCTCTCTACACTAAACCCATTCACTGGAAAGTATAGTGAGTAGTGTCATTATTACTAATCCTGTGATTAGGGAAATCCATCCAATCTTACTAATGATGAATATGACCGGCAAGAATAGGTTAAGAAGCTTTCATGCAAAGAAAAAGCGGATTTATTAGAAGGTAGTAATAATTTCAGAGAAGCACATAGCAGTCTGTTGTTATTACTGACCCTGTGAACGCTGTTTTGTCTTATCTTTGTTATTGATAGTATGAAGCTTGGTCTATGGATTGGTATATAAATAACTTTTAGAAAACCAAGAAATAGGAGAAATCGGAAGAAAGAACACATTGGAAGAATTATAACATCACTAAGACTTCAAAGAGGTACTTTTGTTGTAAGAATGGGAAAGGGAAAAAATCCGAAAAAAGTTCTAATGCTAACTTGATTAGCACCAGATATCAAGGCAGACCAAAACTATTATAGAAAGGTAATATTTATAAGCATGTTTACAACTATAACATCTATGAATGAAAGACGTTATAAGTAGATCCAAACAAATGAATGCGAAACATAAATTAAACCAAGAAATAAAAAGATAAGCTATAACCCTTATATATTAAGGGCAGATGAGTATTACAAGTATTATAACTTGTATTCTCATATTTAAAATTTTTTTTTAGTTCTTTACTAAATTGTCTACATTTCAGGAACATTAAAATCATTGTAGGTAAAACCTGTCCTAGCATATGAATGAAAACATGCAAATGGACACATTAAGAGTCACTTAATTTAATTTAATATAATTTAATTCACTGAAATAATTTAATTAATTTTATTTTAATGTGTTTTTGTAGGCCATAAAGATAATCAAATGAAAGAATTAAGGATACTCAAGAAATAAGTGGTTGCTGCTGGTGAAGAAGACTTAAGAACGATGAACAATTAGATTAGAGTAGAGTATGAGAGATATATATGGGACGTATAATGATTACAGCTTTTGTCCATATCGTGCTTTGACGATTTGAATAGTTGGTTGGTTGGTTGCAGTTGCAGTTAAGCAGATAACTCTCTCCTAACCGCAATTAGTGATTTTTTATATTACTTAATTTAAACGTAAGTGGCATAACTATAGGCTTACTTCTTATGCCCCGTTTTCACTGTCATTTTCAATGTCAAATATTATCAGTATAATGAAAACGAGTAGTCATATGATGTCATATTCGCATTCTTGTCATGTAATGACAACGTATTTGACACACCAGTCAATTATAGTTGTCATTTTAAAAGACAATGCAAACAACGCATAAGAGGCCGAATGAGCTGCAGCTCCAATGAGATTCGATAGTCTTGATTTATTTGATATAATAAAGAAAATTAGATTTGCAAACAAATGGTGAATGAAAACTAATTATAAGTATATTTTTATTGTAAATAATAAAGTATCCTATTAAATAATATATAGTATTTGATTCAGTACCCACAGGCTGAAAACGCGGTAGAGGACGTCCGCATCTTTGGTGGAAGAACCAGGTGACCAACAATTTGGGGGCGCTCGATACTACCAACTGGCGTCAGAAAGCAACTAATCGGGGTGACTGGCGGAGGCTACTCGACGCGGTCAAGGACGACCCACGTCTGTAATGGCCAACTAAGTAAGTAAAGTAAGTAATATAGTATCCTTACTAAAAACATTTATCTGATATATAACAATAGTGATGAGTAACTGTCATTATATATTATTACACATTCTAATGTATAACCGTCTTTCAAAACCCAATACGTGTACTAATTCTAGTTACTTAGTACCAAACTGTGTAGAATAATACTTTTATGAATTTAAAATATTAAAAAAAAAAATTAAAAAAATGTTTATCATGAATAAACCCTTAGATGCCTGCAAGTACCGTTTCTATAAAATGCTATATC